TCCATATTCTGAGCTGTTTAAGCTTTCTTCTTTTCAAATGTTTTGCTTGCAGATGAAAGAATGCTATCTAGTGGCAACAAAAGGTGACTGCAGGCATGGGGAAAAATATTTTCTATTTGGTTGTTTTTTTCTGTTTTGACCAGTTTCCAGAGATGAAAATACAATTACTTAATGACTTTTTCCCTGGAGATGTGGTTGACAGTATTTTGACTTTAGTATTTGAGTAAGCCTTGTGTGCTCAGAGAGGAGTGAATAAGTACTGAACACTAGCATTCACATGCAAGAGCAGAGAAACATTAACGAGATAATTTTAGATACTGATTCATGCTTTAAAAAAATAAAAATGTGGGATAGTGTCTTGAATCATGTTTGTTTGTTTTAGCCAATTAAATTTTGTTATCTGCTCTGAAAACCTTTGTATTAGATGCAACAGGGGAGTCAGCTATGAGTACAACACTTGTTCTTTTTTAAATTAATTTATATATTTTTGAGGTAATATTGGTATACCCCCATCATGTTAAAGCTCTAATTCTTATTGTTTTCACTGTTTTTAAATTAATATAGTCTGTTGGCAGTATGGATAGAATTTGCAGAAAAAATATGCTAACTACATATGATCAACTAATAAAGGACTAAATAAGATAAATGCATTAAGAGGTCGTAGGTATGTCTTACTTGACTAATAGATATATCATTAACGGTCAAATGGAATGAATAAAAGGAACTGTAATGACAAATTAATTTAGTGCTCCATTACTGATTTGCTACATTTAATCATTAGAATGGGCTGGTGTTTACCTTTTCATTATCCTTGTAAAGATGAGCTTACATTTTCATTTGCTTCCAGTCAGTGAATCAGTCAAGTGTGTCAATTTCATTGTCATCAAATTGTTTTTTCACCCAGATTAATATAGTAAAAAATGTTCAGGTTATTTTGTTTGAGCTTTCAGATAGAAGAATTTGACAATATAGAAAGTAATAAGTATATTGTTATAATCTCTTTTTTTGAAAGATTTAATTTAATTTATGCATTTAAGAACTGGGGTGTAGACCAGAGGTGAAGGGAGTGAGAAGATTCACCAGAGACAGAGTGCGGAGCAGAACAGGCAGGTCTACTGAAATACTTTGCTGAGGGGAGCAGCAGGCGAGACCGGAGGGGTCTGCTGTGCCTTGTGGGTCAGCAACTTGGCCAGGGATAGAACTCATGCCACAGTGGCTGGTGACAGCTTGATAGTGCTGACACTGTAACCCCTGTGCCACCTGGAAGGCCCCAACTTGTGACTTTTTTTTAAAGCAACTTGAGATACATTTCACATACCACAAAATTCACTATTTAAAATATGTACAGTTCAGTGGTTTTTAGTATATTCATATTATAGAGTTATACAACCATTACCACAAATTTTAGAACATTTCAATATCCCAAAAAGAAAGCCATGGCTATTAGCAGGCACTCCTTTTTCCTTTCTGTCCTTCTTCAGCCCCAAATCCTGGCAACCATTCATCTACTTTCTGTCTCTAGCATATAAGTGGAATCATATACTATATGGCTTAGTAATACGGCTTCTTTCAGTTAGCTTAGTATTTTCAATATTCATCCATATTGTAGCATATGTCACTATTGCCTTCCTATTTTTTTTCCTGGATAATATTTCCTTGTATGAATATACATTTTAATTATCAGTTGACAGACATTTGGGTTTTTTTCACTTTTTTTGGCTGTTGTGTAGACACATCCCCATCTTATGACAGTTCATTGAAGATTTTTCAATTTGTGATGGTGCAAAAACCATACTCAGTGGAAACTGTACTTTGAATTTTGATCTTTCCTTTGACTAGCGATGATATGACATGATACTCTTTCATGTGAGACAATAATGAGCCACAGCTCACAGTCAGCTGCATGATTATGAGGCTAAACAACCAATACTCTGCTATATACTACATGACCAACATATATACTATATAGCAGCTGTATACTATATGACCACAATACATTGTGCTTTATATTTTTTCTTCCCATCATATATGTTTTTCACTTTTAGTATAGTATTCAATAAATATGCATAAGAAAATCAACAGTTGGGCCTCCCCTGGTGGCGCAGGCAGTTGAGCGCCACGCTGTGAAGCTGCCCACAGCCTCTGCAGCGACGGTTCAATACCAGCCAGCCAGTGAGGGTCCCACATGGCGCAGCAGACCTCTCCTGTCGCACCTGCTGCTCCCCTCAGAAGTATATTTCATCAGTCTGCCTATTCTGTTCCCCGCTCTGTCTCTGGTGAATCCTCTCACCGTACCACGCATCTGGCCTGTACCCTGGTTCTTGTGTAAATGAATAAATAAATCTTTAAAAAAAAAAAGTCAACAGTTTATTGCAAAATAGGTTTTGTGTTAGATGATTTTGCCCAGCTGTAGACTAAATTATGAGCATGTTTAAAGTAGACGAGGTTAAGTTTTGATGTTTGGTAGATCAATTGTATTAAATGCATTTTCTACTTATAGTGTTTGCGAACCTGTCACTTATCAGGACTTAACTCCTGATAAATTGTTGTGGAATTGCTGGGTCATATGGTAATTCTGTTTAATCATTTCAGGAACTGCCATATTGTTTTACCAAGTGGTTCTACATTCTTCTCTAACTTGTTACTGTGACTCCCTTAATAGAGATAAAACCCCATGGGTTAAGTAAATGTGTATTGAAATTGATTTTTTTTTTTTAATGATTGCATTACCAGAGGTTGAGAGTGAGGCTAGAGATGCCTGTCACTTAAATAGAGCTGAGATAAAAACACTAAGGGAAAGTATATACCTACTAATAGACATGTAATAGAACTTTGGAAGAATTCTATTTTGCTAGTAGGAGGAGAACAAGGATCCAGCAGAAAGAGAGAAAGGGTTCAGCTATATAAGTGAATGTTGCAAGCATACTATATCAATTGATAGGACCATGGAAATAGGATTTTTAAGAAAGAAAGAGGGCAGTAAAAGTTTGCAAGAGGTAAAGACTGGGGCAAGACTCTTGAATTAGTATATCACTGTGACTTTTCCTGGAACCAGTTCCTGTGTAAGATGATAAAATTGGGAGGGTTTAAGGAATGGTAGGAAAGCAGAAAAACTATGTTAACCACATATTTGAGCCACCTAACAGTAAATGGAGGGAGAGAAGACGTCATTGAGTGGGGATATGTGAATAGATGAAATGGTTTTTTTAAGGCTTGAGAAGACCTGTGAATAAGCACTAAGAAAAGAATGTACAACACTGGAGAGCAGGCTATAAATTGAGGGAAGAGTGACCATCAATTTATTTAAGAAAATACATACAGGGCAGGGAAAGATGCAAGTTATCTTTACTTGACTTTCCTTTTGCCTTTTTTATTTTTTAAGATTTATTTATTTATACAAGAACTGGGGTACAGGCTAGAGGTGTGGGAGGGTGAGTGAATTCACCAGAGACAGAGCGGGGAGCAGAACAGGCAAATCGACTGAAATACACTGCTGAGGGGAGCAACGGGTGAGACAGGAGAAGTCTGCCATGCCACGTGGGCATCTCCCTGGCAGGCTGGGAATCAAACCCGCACTGCAGAGACTGCAGACAGCTCCATAGCTCTGCGCTCAACCCGCTGGGCCCCCGGGAGGCCCTCCATTTGCTTCTTGACAAAACGTTTCTGTATAAGGAGACATTTCTAAAAATTGTACTAGCATTTTTCTTGAAATCAAATGTGGCTTACGCAGACCCTTACTGGATTTACAAAGTGAGATGGCAAAAGATGGTCACTCTTCCCTCAATTTATAGCCTGCTCTCCAGTGCTGTACATTCTTTTCTTAGGGATTATTCACAGGTCTTCTCAAGCCCTGGTCTATCTAGAAAGCTGGAGAAGGGATATAAGCTTTCCAGAATAGTGAATAGTGTATGTCTTATCAGAAGAAGACTGAAGATACACAGGAGTAGAAAAGTGACGAAACAAAATAAGAAGAGGAAGAGATGTAAGAGAATCTTCCAGTGTAAGAATATGAACAGTTATGAAAGATAAGAACATTTGATGTTAAGGAAATCAAGGAACCTAAGTCAGGATCTTTCTCGTTTTCTTATACTAAAGGGTTGGGACTAAAGCTTTGAGGAACAAGGAAAAAGTTAGAGAAATCTCTGGAACTGTCAAGAAAGGAATGGTGGGACCAGTGGAAGTAGGAGTGGACTATTGTGGAAGATTAATGGGGCTTTTTTTTGTGGTGTGAAAACATGCATTTGTAGAGTTTTCAACCGGTTACCCCAGTAATGTACACCAACTTTACTTCAATAAATATAATCAGAGAAAAATTAAGATGCTGTAGAGAGGGGAAAATTATTTCGGCCATAATAGTGAGTTTCTAACCATGAATTCCTAGTAGACTCATGGTTTCAAAGCAGAAAATAATGAAATTTGGGGAGAAAAGATAGTGTGGACAAAATAATGCGTTTTTTCCTAACATTGAAAATAAGTGCAATAAAAAGGGGATTGAGTTATGTTTCAGTTATGGTAAATGAATTTGAAATGGCACTCTATAAAATCCAAGTAAAATGGACAGAGGTAAGGGAATCTTTAATACGGATATTAGTGACCAGGAAACTTTCCAGAGATCAGAAATCATAGCAGACGTTACAGTGAGCATGAACAAGGTTATGATCATTAGCATTTCAGAATTAAAATTATTGGATGCTTAGAAAGACTGAAAAGCCTAATCTGTATGAGATATTATGCTAGTATCTGATTTTCTAAATAGCAACATATATAATTGCTAAGAGTATTGATAAATTGACCTTTAAAATAATTTTGTATTTTAAAATTGTAGCTAGCATTTGCTTAATTGGATGAACAGATTTTCTTCATGATTCACTTTGCTATATCAGTCAGCCAGTTTCTATAAAACAAGATAGTTTTTATTTCAAAATAGATTGTTCTGAAATGTTTGGCTATAAAATATTGAATGGTTTTCATTTTAAAATGTATCATTTTCTTTCAGATTACAGTGTAGGATTTTGGAGGTCCTTCCTCCATCACATCATCAAAATGGTTTTGCTAATGGACATGTCAGCAATGTAGATGGAGAAACTATTATCATTAGTGATAGTGATGATTCAGAAACACAAAACAGTTCTTTTCAAAACGGGTAAGTGATTTTTATTAATTTTTAAAGTGTTTATCAGATTGGCTAATAATACCCCATCAAAATAATAGTTCTTTATTCTCTTCTTTCTTTCTGGTTTTACTACAGTATAGTACCCATTTAAACAATGTGATTTAGCAACACAAGTTGGAATTTGCGAAATTGAAGCTTACCCTGTTAACTTTTTTTTTTTTTTAAATAGAGGCATGTTTTATTTATTTATTTGTTTGTTTTGTTTATACAAGCACTGGGTACAGTCAGAAGTGCGGGAGGGTGAGAGAATTCACCAGAGCCAGAGCAGGGAGCAGAGCAGGCAGAAGGACCAAAGTACACTGCTGAGGGGAGCAGCGGGCGGCAGGAGAGGTCTGCGCGCCATGTGGGACCCTCCTCCGGTGGCTGGGGAGCATCTGGGGATCGAACCGGTGCCACAGAGGCCGTGGGCAGCTTCGCAACCCAGCGCTCAACTGCTGCGCCACCGGGAGGCCCATTACCCTGTTAACTTTAATCAACTGTTTTAAGAACATTTGGAACTCTCCTCATTCACCTTTTTTTTACTTGGGAAAATTTATTCTGTATCTTAATTATTATACTTAACCACCTTATGGTGCTTATGGTAAAGAAACTGTAACCTTCTGAAATTCAGTTAGTTGATAACCTTTGTCAGCTAAGTGCCTTTGGAGAAAAATCACAAACATATGTAGATTGATATTGTCTACAGGTAAGTTTAAAATCTCCACTGAATCCTCAACCAATTAAAATTCCTTTTATGTATGTAGCCCAGTTCCCACAACTGTTCTCCACAACAGCTGTCTAAATCTTTGCTGTTCTATTTTGTTCTCTCTTGCCTGTTAAGCATCTCAGTTAAAAGTGCTTTCTCCAACTTGTCTTGGTCTTTTTCTGTTTTCAGTCAACAGTACCATAATATTCAAATAAGAAATCTGAGGCCTTCTCTTAACTACTTCTTTAACTAAAGCCCTTGCTCCTGGCCTGTAACTATCAACCTTGTAGTTTAGAACCTTGTAGTTTAAGTTGTCTTTTTGTCTGATTGTAGCTATAACTAGGATATGAGCATTAATTGTGGCCAGGCACTGTGCTCAGTGCTTTTATGCACATTTTCCATTCCTAGAAGAGTGTTGTTACTCTTATTTAACAAAAAGAAACTGATCCTTACAGAAGTTAATTCACTTTGCCAACGTCATCTAGCTAGTACATTGCCTTGCAGAATAAAATTATTTTTAGGGGAGTGAAATAAACATTACTGGACCTATTATAAGGCTTTTGATATATATCATTTTTTCTTGAATTGCTATCATTAAACAGAAAAACTAATCAGTCTCTCATTGAATACAGGGTTTGGGGTGCAAAATTAGTTGGATATTGTGGTTGTGAATGTATGTCCTTCAGTAATTCTGACAGTTCCTGTGTTTTATTTTGACTGTATCATAGACTATAACTCTTAAATGGAGTTTGACTATGCAAATCTTGAAGGATTAAATACAGATTATATGTAAAATATTTTAATAAATGTTAGAATATAAGCATTTATGTTTTTTTTAATTTTAAAATGATTTATCATTTAAGGCTATTTTGTAGAAAGTTTTAATATACTTTTTAAATTCATTTAGGTATTGTGAAGCGCTTTGAAATGAGGAATGTCAAAATTGTTAAGTTTAGCATTCTAGTATATACTTTTTAAAATTTGAGTATGAGCTGCTTGTATATGTTGTGGCTAATTTGTTACCCTGAATACAAAGCAGATTAATTCAGAATTGTAATAGTAAACATTTTGCCTATCATATGTAGCATTTACAGCAAAATTTCATTGGTGACTTCTGTGTGTGCCACTTACAACAAACTCATCAAAATTTGGCCATGAGAGTCAATCAATCATAATTTCCTGCCTAAATAAACTGCCTCATCCCTTGAATATAGGTACTTGAGATAGACCCTTAGTATAGGAAAAGTGAGTAAGCTGATCAGTTACTTTATTTGCACTTATTTGTAACCTTTTGTGATTCTTACAAAAATCTGAACCTTCATTATATGTCAGCATCATAAAATGTCTAGTTTGTAGATTGCTATTGTTATATCCTGAGGTTCCAGGAAAGATGAAGCATAGTCATCTTTGGATCTTTACTCTGTTACAGAGTTTTTTCTATTAATTCCCTAATTTAACTTTTTTTTTAAAGATTTATTTATTTATACAAGCACTGGGGTACAGGCCAGAGGCACGGGAGGGTGAGAGAATTCACCAGAGACAGAGCAGGGAGCAGAACAGGCAGAATGACGAAGAAATACACTGCTGAGGGGAGCAGCGGGCGAGACAGGAAAGGTCTGCCCTGCCATGTGGAAATCTCTCTGGCTGGGGAATTGACCCAGAGCTGCAGAGGCTGCAGACAGCATCACAGTGGTGCGCTCACCCTGCTGCATCACCGGGGAGGCCCTATTAATTCCCTAATTTAAATGAATAAGAAATTTACTTCAAGATTCCTCTTTGCCTATAAAGCATAATCTGGATTTTCTCATGTTTCCGTTAGGAGGATTGAAGGAAGGGGAAGGGAACAAATATTGGCCATTTTCCGTGAGTTTAAACTATATAAAAGCATATGTTGTCTTATTCCTCAGAACATTCTGTAAGGATAATTATATTCTGTACATTGAGAAATAGAAGTTCAGAATAAGAAAAATTTCCCAGCATCATTAATTTCATAATATCTGTAAGAATTAATAACCAGAAGGAAAAAAAAAATCTATAAGAATTACACATTTAGGGGGCCTCCCTGGTGGCGCAAGAGGTTAGGGCGCAGCACTATAAAGCCGTCGGCAGCCACTGCAGCATGAGTTCAATTCCTGGCCAGGAAGGTGACCCACATAGCGCAGCAGGCCTCTCCTGACTCTCTCACTGCTCCCCTCAGCAGTGTATTTCAGTTAATCTGCCTGTTCTGTTCCCCACTCTGTCTCTGAATCCTCTCACCACCCCCCCCGGCCTGTACCCCAGTTCTTGTATGCAGAAATAAATCTTTATAAAAAAAAAAGAATAGCACATTTAGAATTAAGCCTAGGTCCTTAAAATGATCACCAGTTTTGTTTTGTTTTTTTTTTTTAAAGATTTATTTCTGCATACAAGAACTGGGGTTACAGGCCAGAGGTGTAGGGAGTGAGAGGATTCACCAGAGACAGAGTGGGAAACAAAACAGGCAGATGACCACACTGCTGAGGAGAGCAGCAGCGAGTCAGAAGAGATCTGCTACTGCTCCCTGCCGGGGATCGAACTTGTGTTGCAGTGGCTGCAGATAGCTTCATAGTTGCGTCAACCTCTTTCACCACCAGGAGCCCCTGATCAAATGTTTTATGAAGTCTGTGTATGTTAAAAAACATGTTATTCCATTTAACCATTCATTTAGTGACATTACAGTCACAGTGTTATACAGATATCACTATTTGCCTTTTATTACCCCTGTTTAAGTGATAGTTCTCCATTCCCTTTTCCTCCATCCCCTTATCTTGAATCTGATTTCTGACTCTAGGTCCACAGATACTTCTTTTTTTTTATTATTTAAATTGTTCGGTTTTTTTTTTTTTTTCAAAGATTTATTTTATTTATTTATACCCAGGAAATTTCTATAGATCTAGGAATGGAATTGCTGGGCCATATAATTCTATGGTTAACTTCTTTTTTTTTAAGATGTATTTGTGTTTACAAGAGCCCGGTTACAAGGCAGAGATAACAGGGGATAAGAGGATCCACCAGAGATGGAGTGGGGAACAGAACAGGCATACTGACTGAAATACACTGCTGAGGGGAGCAGCAGGCGAGACAGGAGAGGTCTGCTGCACCATGCGGGTTGCTCCCTGGCCCAGCAGGGGATCGAACTCATGCTGCAGAGGCTGTGAATTGTTTCATAGTGCAGTGCTTAACCCCTTGTGCCACCAGGGAGGCCCTATGGTTAACTTTTTAAGAAACTGCAAAACTGCTTTTTACAGCAACTGTACCATTTTATATTCATACTAATTTGTCACATGCTCACCATTTTTTGTTTTTTTGTTTGTTTTTTTGATTATAGCCTATGAGAAGTGGTATCTCATTGTACTTTTGACTTGCATTTCCCTAATGACCACTGATGTTGAGCATCTTTTGATGTATTTATTTTATTGGTCCTGATATAAGTCCTGTACCAGTTTTTAAATTTAGGTTGTTTAATGACTTCTTTAATTATAATTCTTTAAATATTCTGATCCATCAGAGTTTTATAAATTGACTATTTTGATGCATTTGAGGGAGCTTATTCACTTTTTTTCAAAGCCAAATACCATAGCAGTAAAAGTAGGAAATTGAAGACTTGATTTTTTAAATAAATTTACATTTATTTCCTCAGGATAGTATATTACTTGTTTATCAGTGTGGGCATCAGCTGTGGAGTCTGACTGAACAAAGCAGTAACTGCATAATTAATTTTGTAGGTCAGCTTTTGTTGATGGACAGTGATCAAGGTTTTAGGAAACTGACCACTTATTTATTTCGAGGATTGAAAATAACACTTTAAATGTGTTTCTTACACTAAGCTTCTAAAAAAGACTAAGAAAATTGTTGCTTTTCCTTCGCATCGGAAAGCCTATTTCATGTGTATGTGGTAGCCCTGGACATTTTAGTGTCTTAGCACTAACATTCTTGCAGAACACTTTATGATGTCTTTGCCAGACTTGGTTTCTAGAGTAACATTATGAAATCATTTTTTCTCAGTTATTTACCCTGAGGTTTATGACAGAGCCTTTGATTACACCAATCTAAGTGTAATTGAGATTGAGATGAGGCTAATTTTTATAATCATGACTATTGGATACTTTGTATATGTTTCGCTTTACATATGCAAGTTTAAAGATTAAATTTAGAATTATGTTTTATTCAGATATTCAGTGTATCTAAAGCAAATTTTTATTTTAAAAATTCGCTTCTTAGCTCTTATTTATAGCCCTTGATAAAAGTCTAAGCTACATTTTAGAGAATATAATTTAATTTGTAGCATATAAAATTGAAGTAAAGAGATTTAGAGTTTAATCTATTAGTCTTCTGAGAATGATAACATGTATCATCTGTCTGCTCTCATTGTTCTTTTCTTTACTCATCTCTTATGTTTGCCCACTAAGAATGGGTTTAGCAGCAATTCCACACCTAGGAATTTACCACAAGACACAAAAACATTCATTTGAAAGGAAACTTTTACTCCTATATTTATTGCAGCACTATTCACTAATACCTAAGATAGGGAAACAGCCTCAAGGCCCCCAAATATATGAATGAATCAAGAAGAATGTGGCATATATACACAATGGAATACGATTCAGCAATCAGAAAGGTAAACTTATGCTATTCATAGCAACATGAATGGAGGTAGAAGGGCTTATGCTCAATGAAATAAGTCAGAATGAAAAAGAAAAAATATAGGATGGTTTCACTCATAGGGGGAATATAGGGAAACCAAACAAAGGGTCAAAAAAAAAAAGACAAAACTTGCAGGCAAACTGTAGATCTAAGGCAGACAGCAGGGGAGGGAAAAGGAGAGGGGTTAAAACAGGGAGGGAAGAGCAGAAGGGACTTTGGTGACAGTTCTTGGGTTATATGGTGGTAGTTTAGTATTTGACCCATTGTAGGCTCTTAACTGCTTATTGGATGGATGGGTGGATGAATGGATGACAAATGAATAAATATACCCTCAAAGGAAAGAAAAGATAAGAATTTGGGAGATGGGATAAAATGTGTAACCTCTGCTAATTCTTTTTTTTTAACTGTTGAGGTTCTCTGTTTTATTTTTTAAGTATTTTATATATTTTTACATCATTGTTCATTTCTTTTAAAGATTTATTTATGCATACAAGAACTGGGGTACAGGTCAGAGGTGTGGGGGGGTCTGAGAGGATTCACCAGAGACAGAGTGGGGAACAGAACAGGCAGACTGACTGAAATACACTGCCGAGGGGAGCAGCAGGCGAGTCAGGAGAGGTCTGCTGCGCCATGTGAGTAGCTACCTGGCCAGGGGTCGAACTCATGCTGCAGAGGCTACGGATAGCTCATAGAGCTGTGCTTAACCCCTTGCACCACCAGGGAGGCCCCATTGTTCATTTTTAAACAATGTTTGCTTCCCCCCCCCCCTCTTAGTTCCCATAGAATTTCCTTCAGCAATGCACCCTTGCACCATCACCTCAGTCCCCTGTGCTGCTCCCTCCCTCCCTCTCTCTGATCCCTCTCCCTCTCCCTCCGCTGCAGGATGTCTCTGGCTTATAATTGTCTGGGTCTTTTTTGTTATGTTGTGTTGTGTTTTGTATTATTATTTTTTTCCCCTGATGTCTTATTTGGTTCCCCTGTACTCCTCCTATAAGTGAAACCATCCAATATTTTGCATTTTCCTTCAGACTTATTTCACTAAGCATAATTCCTTCTAGCTCCATCCATGTTGCTGCAAATTGCATGAGTTTATCTTTTTTGATTGCTGAGTAGTATTCCATTGTGTATATATACCACATCTGCTAATTCTTAACATGGATAAGCTACATTGTCTCCACTTTTACTCTGGAGTTACATAGCTATGAAGAAGAAAATTTGAAAGCAAATCCAAGAACTATTTGTTTCTTTAACCTAAACTGGGTGCTCTGTGCTTACTCATCTCTAGTTAATTTCTTCACCCAAGGAATATATATTGACTGTGTAAAGTACCCATGAACATATAATAGTACTTTGTACCATTTTAGATAGTAGAATGGTGGTGATGGGTATTACAGTAACTTATAAAATCCTAGATAAAATATAAATACGTTAAAATCTGTTTATGTTCTTAGAAACTAGATTTCCATTTAAATCTCATGTTTCTATACAAATTATTAACTGATTTGTGTCTTTGCTCTTTTTTAGGAAGAAAAAAAATACAATTGATCCTTTATTATTCAAGTACAAGGTGCAACCCACTAGAAAAGAATTGTATGAGTGTACTATTGTTAAAGCAACACAAATCAGGTAAGATTAGGTAACTTCTCTTTGCTGGTTTAACATAGAATAATTAGATTAGGAAGATCTGGTATAATAAATAGGTAGTGTTGCAAGTGCTTGCTTCCCTTTTTGAAATAAGGGTACATTTATTTGCTCATAAAATGAATCCTAATAGACTCCCTGAATCTTTTTTTAGTTTAGTAACAAACCACAAATTGTATTTACATCTGAAGATTTAAGCAGGATTCAATTTATGAAGTACATCTCATGAGAAAACTTGGTGTTCAAAGTTGAGAAATCTGGGGTTGCTTACAATACAGAACACATTTATAATATTTCATTCCTTAGACACCAATATCTGAACAGTCTCTCCACTCTTTTTTTTTTAAAGATTTATTTATGCATATAAGAGCTGGGGTACAGGCCAGAGATTCAGGGGGTGAAGGATTCACCAGAGACAGAGCGGGGAGCAGAACAGACAGATCTACAGAAATACACTGCTAAGGGGAGCAGCGGATGAAACAAAAGAGGTCTGCTGCGCCATATGTGTCGCCTCCCTGGCTGGGGATTGAACTCGTGCTGCAGTGGCTACGGATAGCTTCATAGTGCTTCATCTTAACCTCTTGCACCACCAGGGAGGCCCCTTCTCTACTCTTTAAAAACATAAAAATAAAAAATTAGTATCTTTAAAAATTCCTGTTTGAGGTCAATTGAAAAAGAGAGATTGTGAGTAGTAAATACCAATTTTTAAGGGCTGGCTTTTAGTTACGTAACTGTATCTTAGGAAAATCCCTATTATTGTCATTTGAAAGCAAGCAGACATTAGCTAACTATCAGCTTGCCATGTAGAACTTTTTCTTACCTTCTACTTGATATAAAATAATTTTACTTATTCTTTTATCCTTGTTGCCCCATATATACTCATATAAGCCCAAAGAAGAATGATAATAGCATATATGTTAAGTGAATTCTGAACAGGATATATTCTGTAACTGTTATAGCTGTATGTAGTTTTTTGACCTGCTCCTTTTCCGACCTGCACTGGTTCACCCCTCCTTAGGTAGCCTGGTGGTCCTCTGTCCCTGGGAGGTCACCATATTGATGCTAAACTTAGTGCAGACACCTGGTCAGCATACCGCACTATAGCCACACAACTCCTGGGCGCAAGCAATCCTGGTTAAACCTTCCAGGTAGCTGGGACTACAAGTGTGTGCCACTGTGCCCAGCGTTGTATATAGTTCTCTGTTTGGCTGGTTTTTTTGGGGGGCGGGTGGGGAGGGTCCCATCATTAATTTAGGATCTCTGAAGCATTCTACATTTTATTACATATTGAAAAATATTTCCAAGATAATGCTCATGGATTATTTAAACCTTTGAATTTGTTCTGTTTATGGACTAATTAGCATACTTGAGACTACCAATTTTTTCCTTATTCATAGTAAAGTTTTGACCTTTTTGGCCTTAAATTCAAGATGTGTTCTTTATACACTGTAATTCTGTTTCATACTTTTCATTTTTCTATTTACCTTTTGACTAAAACTTTAAATATAATTCTACTAGATCTTGCTTGCAATCTTATTTCCTTCTTAATTGGAAAACTGAAGAATTGTAAGGTAAAAAGTAATATTTGGTGGTAGAACACTTAAGTGATTAGTAACTCCTTATTAGTATCAAAAGATAGTACAATTCCTGTAATAAAGAGATGATAATATTCCCATGAGGAAGATTTGATATGATAGAATAATAATGACAAAAAAACTTTTTGTGATTATGAAAATACTACATGGGCAATGTATATAATATGGTAGCCACATAATCACTGTTGATAAGTTGAAACATGGAATAATGAGAAACTGAACTTTTTATTTTATTTATAAAAACTTGTGGCTGGTAGAAGTCACATAGCATAGTATAGTTCTTGAACACAAATATATATTCAGTAGTCAGCAGATAATTACCTTCTCTTTGTCAGCTACCGTATGGTACTGGGATATAGTAGTAAAAACTAGACCCCTTTCATATAATTTTTTGTATGGTCTAGAAAAAATACATGCTTTTGGGGGAGGGCGATTATGTTAAAATGTCTATATTTATTCACTCCCACACACTTTTGCCTTGGCTTTTTCTTGAAAGAAACACATAGAACTGTCTTAAAACATTTACTTTTTTTCAGAATCTTGCATGACCTGAAATTAATTTGTGGGGTGTTTACTGTTTTTGTTTTTTGTGATGATATTTGTTTTTGCTGTTTTTGAATTTGGTGGCAAAGGGAATTTAAAATATTATATGCTTAGAATCTTGATATAACTCTGAGTGCTGATTTAAGTGTATATATAGTCTACTGATTCTAGTTTTTTAAAGATTATTAAGAATGATGCTAGCTTGAATGATCATCTAATTTTATAAGGTATGGTTTACTCACTATAGTTTATTTTTCTTGAGTTTATTTGATTTTTGATTGGTTTCTAAGCATCAAATGCATGTACTAGTTTTGTGATGAACATTTATAATAGAGTTACTTGGGCCTCCTTGGTGGCCGAGGGGTTAGGTCTTAGCTTCATCACCTCTGTGACCTGAGTTTGATCCCCAGCCAGGGAGCTGACCCACGTGGCACAGCAGACCTCTCCTCTCTCACCCGCTGCATCTCTCAGCAGTGTATTTCAGTGGATCTACCTGTTCTGCTCCCCACTATGTCTCTGATGAATCCTCTCACCCGCCGCACCTCTGGCCTATATCCCCAGTTCTTCTACACAAAAACAAAAACAAATATTCAAAATAAAGTCACAAATAGGTCATATAACACTCTACATAAATACTTCTGTATAATGTTCTCACAAATACTATTGGAAAATGAAATATCCTTCTCTTCCTAGGTTTGAAATTCTGGTTGTAGATATACAGAGGTGGTGGATTTTGAATTGAAGTCTCTGAAACTAACACGTTCCTCTTTCTCTTCCTCCTTCCCCTATAGCCGGAGAAAACATCTATTTTCTCGTGATAAACTAAAGCTTTTTCTGAAGCAACACTGTGAACCACAAGATGGAATCATTAAATTAAGGTATTCAGAACAGTGACATTATTGTTGGGAAAAAGGAAAAAATGAGAAAATAACTAGTGTTATATAGTTGTGACATGGCAGAAATGTTTCAAAGATGATTGAAAATTGCTTTTGATTGTGAGTTTGGCAACATACATCTGAAGAGGTGTGAACATGTTCCCCTATATCATAAACAGTGTTGTAAACTAATGTCACCTCAGTAAAAATTACAGGAAAAAAAATTGGGAAGTAAACCTAAAGTGGATAACTTTCCTTCCTGTAAAAACAAAACAAAAAACAAAGATGGCTGAAAATAGCTCCCTTTTTATCTGGAGCCATTTTTTAGTACTTTTTTTTTTAAGATTTATTTATTTATGCATACAAGAACTGGGGTATAGGCCAGAGGTGCAGGGGGTGAGAGGATTCACCAGAGACAGAGTGGGGAACAGAACGGGCAGATTGACTGAAATACACTTCTGAGGGGAGCAGCGGGCAAGACAGGTGAGGTCTGCTATGCCATGTGGGTAACTCCTGGCTGGGGATCGAATTTGTGCTGCAGAGGCTGCGGATATCTTCATAGTAATGTGCTTAACCCCTTGCGCCACCAGGGAGGCCCTAGTACTTTTTCTTTATATATATTTAAGTACATACTGTATTTTACAATTGTTAAAATTACCATGTCACTCAGTACTACCACCTTTTTTCTTTATGTAAAAGATCAACCAGAACAGGTGAGAATAGATGGAAAACTTGGAAAAAGAAAAGTCACGGATGTTGGGCATCTAGATTCAAAAAACAACGCTAAAATAGATCCTACGGATGGGAGAATGCTACTTAATCAGAAACCAATACTAAGATTATATTTTATTCTTAAGGTTTAGAAACCTCACATTGTACGCTAAATAAAAAGTTAAATGGTAAACAAACTAATTTTTTTCTTTTCCATTTTCTTTTTCTTATTTGTTGTGGTAACATTGGTTATAATCCTATATAAGATTTAAAGGAATAGGGATCTGAGAAGCTTCTCAGATGTATGTCATCTGATGACAAAATAGCTAGAAATAGATGAGAAAATAGCTAGAAAATAGCTAACCACACCCACCACCAAAACACCCATAGTCCTTTACTACAGATCATAAGCTCCCCCCTAAAAAAACCCCTAATTTTTAAAAATGAGAAAACATTTGACTCACATTGGAAAAGAGAAACCGTAAGTTAAAAAATCATAACATGAGTTAGAGATATATGCATGTATCAGAAATCCACTGCTGTATGCTTAAGGTTTGTGCATTTCATTATATGTGTTTTATCAAAAGAAAAGAAAATATGTGTATGTGAGTTTACTCTGTGGGAAAAGTAGCACTTCAGATCTCTAGAGACTAAGGTAGATTATTTGATAAATGAAACTGAGACACTTGGTTAATTATTTGGAAAAATTAAGTTAGATCTAACTTCAAAAAGAAACAAGTCTTAACTTTATGCATACTGAAGTATTTGAGGAGAAATAGAAAAGAACTACCAAGGTTGAGATTGATTTGACAATGTAAACTTACATAGATTTAAAAATATTCATGCATAGGGCCCTCCCTGGTGGTGCAGGGGTTACAAACACAGCGCTATCAAACTATCACCAGCCACTGAAGCATGATTTTGATCGCCAGCCAGGGAGAAAACCCATATGGTGCCATATGGTGCCATATGGTGTGGCAGACCTCTCCTTTCTCACCCGCTGCCCCTCAGTAGTGTATTTCAGTAGATCTGCCTGTTCTCCCCACTTTGTCTCTAGTGAATCCTCTCAACCACACACCTCTGTCCTGTACCCCAGTTCTTGTATCATAAATAAAAATAAATCTTAAAAAAAATAGTCTAGTAGACATGTATAAAGCTGAACAAGTTCTGAATTCAAAGTAAAAGGAGAAGTCTTTTGGATTTAGCAGTTATCCTAGAACTACACCACTTCTGGTAAAATGAACTTGACGTCTTTCAATTTAATTCTGAGTTGAAA